CCCAGGGTCTGGCAGTTTGTGTCTGCTGTCCTCTTCTCTGGCATTGCCATCACGGTGAGTCCCTGCCCCTGCCCAGGGCCGCCTGACTGCCCGCCCCCCCTCCCATGTCCCACATGGAGCCCCTGTTTCTTCTGAGCCTTGACCTCAAGCAGAGCCCTAGAGCTTGCACTGAGGGGTCGGTCCTCAGCCCTGGACTTCCCCGACTGGCCCAGGAGCAGGACCTCTGACCGCCTGCCCTGCTGTCGTAGGCCCTCGCCCTACCTGACCAGCTCTATGATGCAGTCTTTGATGGAGCCGAGGTGACCAGCAAGACCCCCATCCGCCTCTATGGCGGCGCCCTCCTCAGTGAGTGTGGCTGGGGGAGGGGATGGGCAGCTGAGGGCATCCCACCTAGGAGCCTCCGTCTGATCTGGGAGTAACCCTCCCCACCCTCCCGCGTAGGAGGCTGCGGTGCCCTCCACCTCCCCATAGGCCCTCATTTGGCTTTGTCTCTGGGCGTGCCCTGCCATCTTGTGGTCACCGGCAGAATTCACCCAGGGGGACTGGAACTGCTGCTGCCATCATGCATTTGGGGTTCTTCCTGAGCACTGGCTTTTAGTCGAGTGCTATCCTGGGAACTGGGGTACAGAAGTGAACACCGTCCCCCCACACACACACACATGCCCCTGGGCCTCCCAGCCGAGAGAAGGCAGACTGACCATGGGCTGTCCACAGCCCCCACCCCACTCCATCGTCACCCTAGCCACTGGCTGAATGCAGACCCACCCAGCCTCTCTTTTGAAGCATTTCTGTTGCCTTCTATTCTGAGCTGTGCCAGGGCCTGCTAGGAAGCTGAATGGGGGGCTTTGAAACTCAGCTCCCCTCGAGAGCCAGACTCCAGCCACAGCTGGGGACAGACTGTCCTGTTCCCCAAGGCCTTTGTACAGGGTCCCTCCGGTCTTGTCCTGACTGGGCTTCTGCTCAGCCTTCAAGGGCCAGCTCAGCTATCCTGGTGGCGGCGGGTGGGGACTGAGGAAGCTTCCAGCCCTTGCCCCTTAGTGGAAGAGCAGGTGGAGGGACTGGGCCTGCTGGTGTGCCGTGTGCATGGGGCACACTGATGGTGCCCACGGTCAGCACACGCTGGGCAAGCTGCTCGAGGGAGGCTCCCCTGCTGCTGCTTCAGTGAGATGACCTCTGTACCTCTGCCACCCAGGGGATTTCCAGGGGAGTCCTTGTTGGGCTGGGGTTCCCTGTTGCCAGGAACTCCTGGGAAAAGCATTGCAGTGGTCTCCCTGCTGCCAGAGACGCTTCTGACTCCTAGCAACCTGATAGGACAGGGTGGACCTCACTGCCCCTACGGGCTTCTGAGACGAACTCTCTCAGGACTTCCAGGAGAAAGCCTCCTCTTGCTCCTAGGGTAAAGCCTAGGGGAATGGCTGGTGGTTTTGAACCGCCAACCTTGCCGGTAACCCATCAGGCCACCAGGGCCCCTCCTAACAAAGGTAGGTCCAGATAACTGTTCACGAATAGCTTATGCCCGCTTGGGATGGGCATGCTGGCTGCCGCTCCAAATTCCCATTTTATAGACAGAGACGGAGGCCCGGTGTGGGCAAGTGACTTGCCCTGGTCCGGGTCCCTCGGTAAGTTGGGAATGCCAGGAGCAGGGGGTAGTTGAGTGGGGAGGGGGTGAGGCAGGGTCGCGGGGTGGTCTGATTTGAAGTCGAGTCACCGGCAACGAGGTGAGGGCGTTGGTGGGAGTGGGGGGGGAGGAGGAGGAAGGGGAGCCCCGCGGACTCTGCCTGTCTCCACCCACCAGGCATCTCCCTGATCATGTGGAACGCTCTGTACACGGCCGAGAAAGCCATCATCCGGTGGACTCTGCTGACTGAAGCCTGCTACTTCGGCATCCAGTTCCTGGGTGAGTGCGGAGAACGATTCGGCTTTGAGATTCCTGCGACCCACCGCGCATGTCCACGTGATCTGCGTACCCTGACTCCGCCCGAGTGGGGGAGGCATCAGAAGAGAGCTACTTGGGGCTGGGGAAGGGGCATGGCCTGGGCTTGACATGCTTCTGGTCTGACGTGGTCACCTTTCTCCCACAGTGGTCACCGCCTCATTGGCCGAGACGGGTCTCGTGTCCCTGGGCGTCCTGCTGCTCCTGGCCAGCCGCCTCCTCTTTGTGGGCATCAGCATTTACTACTACTACCAAGTCGGCCGCAGACCCAAGAAAGTCTAGGGGGCGGGGGCGGGGCCGGCCTGGCGTTCAGGGGTGTGGCCTCCCTCCGGGAGCCCAGGGCTCCCTGGACCTGCCAAGTGCTGGGAATTTAGGTTTGAGGTGCCGGTGTGGGGAGGGAGGGGACCAGTATCCCTATTCTCCATCCCCACATGTGAGGATGCCTCCTTGTCTAAAGCCTCCTGGCCTCCGCCAGCAGCAGACACGGACTGGAGGGCAGGCCCGTGGGGTTGGGGGCAGAAGCAGAGGTCCTGCTGGAGGAACTTTGTATCTTTTGGGAAACGTACCAGGGGCTGCCGCCTCCTTTCCTCCCTGGCTGGTCTAGTGAACGTGGCGCCTGCCTGGCAAGCCCCCTGCCCCTTCTTTACCTGTGCTCTTTACATGAACACACATCTCTTGGCCGCCTGGCCCTGGGCAGGTAGACCAGAGGGACCTGGCCCTGTTTCCACCACCAGCCTGGCCCAGTGGGAACTCTCCTTAGCTCTGGCCACTCACCTCCAGTGCCCTAGAAGTCCCTTGAGTTTGGCAGGTACCAGCAGGTACAGGCTGTCCCAGACAGATGGACGGAGGTGATGCCAGGTGGAGGCCACCTGGAAGTGGCTGGGTTTGGAGGCCATCTCCTCCAGCATCTGATGCTCATGACCCCTCCCAGGTCCCACCTGAGGTCGCAGCTGACAACTGGTTCCCCCAGAGCTGAACACCTCCTGCCCTGCTCCTCCCTGAAGGTCCACCTGCCCAGGCATCCTCCTTGGCCCCTGCCTCCTGCGCTTGCCTTCCCTCCTGCCCAGGAGGAGGTGGGTAGAGTGGCCAGCAGCAGCCTCAAGCCCATTCCTGCCCTTCCTGAGCCTGGCTGCCACCCCAGCAGGTCTCTGCATGGCTTCCTGGGAACCTGCCCTATGCCCTGCAGCCACACACCCAGTCACGATCTGTGACCAACAGGGTGGCACCCTGGTTGCCCAGCTGGGGAGGAGGTCCAACGGCTACCCCAGGCTCTGCTGAGCTGGACTGGGGAGGGGCCTTGCTCTCCTGGCACCCATCTCTGGCACTACCACACATCCTCCCCCCTGCTGCCATGCCTGGACTGCCTGAGAATCTGCCGCTGCCTTTGGGTGCAGGTGCAAGACATCCAATGGGCAGTGCCCCTGGCTACAGTGTCCGCCCGAGCCAGGCCTTCGGACTCATGAGGGATTCCCAGAAGCAGCGTCGATGGCAGGCAGATTCTGTGTGAGGACGCAGGTCCTTGCCCCGGGTTGTTCCGTGGCCCCTATGGAGTGTGTTGTGGACCACGGGGATCCTCGTGGCTAAGTCTCCCTTCTCCCCCATGGAAGGAGACCACCGGCCCGTCTAGCCCATCTCAGTCTGCAAGCTCTGCTCAGCCTGTTCAGCCTCAGTAATGGCAGGCTCCTCCGGGCCGGTGGTGGCTGTGCAGGAGGCCCATTGGCTGGGACTTGAACCCACTGTTTCTATGCGGAAGGGGAGAATTCGACCATGGAACCACTGCGGCTCTAGGAAGGCGGACACGCCAGCTTTGGGGTCAGTTTTGCATTGAGCATCTGCTGGGGCCAAACCAGCTAAGCCTCCAATCTCCCTGGGGCCAAACCAGCTAAGCCTCCAATCTCCCTGTGTAGAAGGGCTGTCTGGGCGCTGGCCCAGCAGTGCTCAGGAAGCAAGTTGCTTAATTCAACACTGTAGTGGAGCTGGTGGGCAGGACGTTAGGGATGGTCGTGTGGGGTAAGGCTTGGTGGGACATGAACAGTGACGGATGGGCCATGTGGGGTACAGCTCGCTTTCAGGCTTGGGATGACCTGGAATACCATGCCTATAGCCCACCCCTGTGACCAGACCCCCGCATCCTCGAGCCATGCTCCTGCCTTAGCTCGGCTGCCCCACCCCAAATTAAGACCACCTTCTTCATAGTCACTATTTATTCTTCGTTCCAGTCTCTTTTCGTAAGAAACTCATACACACACACACACACAAAAAAAACAAAAAACAGTGTAAAACCATCCGTGTGGGTGTCCTTTTTTATATGACGACGACTCTTCTTGATAGAATATAAAAAGGGGGAGGACTTGGGTGGTGGTGGAAGAGACATGATAAATTAACTATCTACTGCAAGAACCATATACAGATATCAAAATAGACCTTTGACAAGACTCAGGGAAGGGAGAAGGAAGCTTCTGGAAATAGCGCACCAGGACCTGGGCTGGTTGTGGGGACTTGTGCCCACCCTGCTCTTGGGATGGATCGTCCCTTACCTAAGATTCACTGGCTTCAAAACAGGAAAGTGGTTCTCAGTAGAGCGTGGGGAGTGTGATGACAACTGCCAGGTAGTCCTGGTCCTTGACTCTGTTCGGGTCAGAAGGTGTCTCAATTGTGGGATAATTCTTGGGGGTGGGGGGAGTGAAGCCATCACATACCCTTCGCCATCAGCTGCTACCAAGGCCCCACCATGGGCTGCACCTGGATCCGCTTGGCCTGAGGCCTGGTGGTCTTGTGCTCTAGAGAGACTAGTGCCTGATGAGGTCTGAGCATCAAGGTTAAAGCCCACTACAGTGAGTTAAAAGGTCAGCCGTTCGAACCCACCATCAAGGGGACAGTTCTGTGTCCTACGGGGTCACTTTGAGTTGGAATCCACTCAATGGTGAGTTTAGCGGAGATGAATGGCCTTGGCCTGGGAGCTACCAGAGAAATGTGGCCGGGGCAGAAGAGATGCGCCTGGCTCATAGTCCCTTGGCAGCTCTAAGGAAAGCCCTTTGGGATGAGAAGGTGGTGATAGAAGTTGGTACAGTGCTGCTGCTCCTAGTTCCACCCCCATGGCAGACATCACTAATCAAAATGTGGAACACAATGGCTTCCACTGCTCCAGGATGGAGATGGAATACCAGTGTGGCTCTTCCTGGCTCCCTGGGACATCTGTTCTCTAGGGAGCTCAGAGGACAAGTCACCAGGGCACTGTACTACAGGGACAGATTGTGAAAACTCCACTTGGAAAGCGAGAGGGGGAATACTGGTGGGGGCAGCAGGGCATGGGAAAAGGTGGGAAGTGGCCATGTGCATCTTTATAGCTGGCACAGGGCTGCTGGCTGCTTCTCAGAAGAAGAGTGTGTGGCAGACGGGAATACTCACTAGGCTTTAGCTCTGACCCTGCTCTATGTCTGGAATCTATGAGGGGAGTTGGAAAGTGGCACAGGATCCTGGGAGACAGGAGCCAGAACAGGCTTGTAGCAGTGTGGAGAGTGCAAGGATCCTAACCTGTCCTGCCATTGCCACACCAGTGACAGGCATCACTAATCAAGTTTATACTCCCAGGCAGACATCACTAGTCAAACTGACCAGGCCTGGCAGGCACCCCTAATCAAGCTTAGCTTGTCTGGCAGGCATTAATAAAAGGGGTTGCGGCACCTTGTTCCACCGAGCCCAGACCTTAGTATCCTTGGCACAGCACCCAGCAAACATTCCTGAGTAATCGGGATCGAGGGGCCCATGAAATCCAGGTGCCAACACCAGCTTACACCTGTGTGTGTGTAACTCATGCTACGTGGGTGTGAACACAGGCATAGCGAAGGAACGTAGCACCCACAGCTATTCGTTTTACATTGATGAGCGATCTCACAGCCGGCGATGGAAATTGTGGTGGGGAATAGAATTGGGGGGCCTTCAGGCTGGAGATGAGGGCTGCGGGGGAGCCAATGGCTGACCTTAATGCTCCTGCCACAAAGGTGAACAAGCAAGGCATATGTGAGACTCCACGAGAGAACCACAGACAACCAGAAGCTTCTTCCATGTACTGAGCTGGCGCTACAGTGGGTGGTCCAAAGGCGGGGGGCGGGGGGGGAGTGTTGCCTGGGGAGGTAGTGAGCTCTCCATCCCTAGAGGTGTGGAAGCAGATGGTGGAGGAGTCTTGGCAGAGAACTCCGGTGCATGGTCTTGGGGCTTCTTCCAGCCTCAGGAGCCAGGGAGGGAGTGGATAACAGGTAAGGGAAGGGGTGGGAACTGTAGAAACGGACTGTGACTTGTGCGCATGTGGGGGCTTAAAGAGGCAGGAGGGAAAGAGCACCCGGCGGGGTGGGTAGTCCAGAATTGTCTCTGCTATAGAGCCAGGAGGAGGTGCTTCCAGGTCAGCCTGCTCCGCCCTCCACCAGGATGCTGGGGACAGGGACGGGTGTGGCCAGTAGACCTGCTGGGACCAACAGAGCCCTTGAAGGAGTGACAGGTCTAGTTTGGAACTGTCACGCATGTGCTGTGTGACGATGCCCAGTTGCTGCCCCTCTCTGGGCCTTTGAGGTCACTTGGTCCGACAAGAGAAGCAAGGTGTCTGGCAGCTGGAACATTCTTGGAGCCTGCGTGCACAGCCCCTCTGTACCCCAGCAGAAAGGCCAGGAACCTTCCTGTCGGTTCTGGCTCCTCAAGGACATGGTGGCACTCCTCTCCCTGGGGACATGGGCTCTGAAGACATCTCTCAGAGCTCTGCTGTTGCGTCTGGCTGACCAAACGCTGTTGGCTCCGTTCCTGAGGCTTCGAGGACGGAGGCCAACTACATCTTGCAGGCCCAGGAGGGGCCCTGGGGCGGTGCCCCTCTGGTCTCAGGCGCTGGGGCCCTTGGAAGCCCCCAAACAGAGTTCAGGTGGGGTGGGGGTGAGGTCCGTCAGTCCATGTTTCTGTCTTCATTTTGTTTTGTTAAAAAAATAGCTATCTCCATCCTTGCCCCTCTCCTCCTGGGGCCAGGACGGCAGGAGCACGGGGAGCGGAGGGCGTGGGTCCTGGGCAGTGTTGGAGGCCAGTCCATCTCTACTGGATGCCCCGGAAGAGGCACATGGCAAAGATCATGGCGAACAGCTGTGAGGGGAGCGGAGTCGGCGTCAGATGCGGCCACAGCACTCGGTGGCGTGGGGTTGGGAGGAGTGAGGTAGAGTGGGGTGTCCCACCCAGGAGAAGGGGCGCCGCTTCCCCCTCACCTCACTGTTCTGCCGACTTGCCTGGCATTCTCCCCTGGGGCCTGCCCCCACCCACCACCCAGCTGCCGCCCGGACCCAGGGCTCCCTGCAGGTCTCCCACACTGGATGCCTGCAGGGCTGCCGCGGAGCCTCCCCCGAGCCTCTCGTTCCGGGGATCTGGCTTTACCCATTCCTGTCATCGCGTCCCTTCTCCCGCATTTTAAAAACCCAGATCTGTTTCTCATTGTGCTTTGCTGGCCATGACTGAGCTGGGGAGGACCCGTTTGAAGCCTGCTCTGCCCTGAGAATGGACCGAAGACTTGGTGGGTGCCTGTTCTGGGTGCTCTCGTGGGAATTTTCCACAGAGAATAGGGGCTGCACAGAGGTCAGGGGACTAGCCCCAAGTCACCCAGCCAGATGGAGAGCAGGGGTCTGAGTCCACTGCACCCTGACCTCGGGGCCTAGGCTCATAGCTCCTGTACTCCCCTTCTTGGGCTCCCACGGGATGGTGACATGCCAGTGTAACAACATGTTGATAAAGCCAACACCAAGCTCACTGCCGTGGAGCCGATGCCGACTCCACAGCGACCCCATGGCACAGAGTAGCACCGCCCCGTGGGTTTCTGAGACTGTCACTCTTTATGGGAGTAGAAATCCCCATCTCATTCCCATGGGTGGAGCGGCTGGTGGTTTTGAACTGCTAACCTTGAAGTTAGCAGCCCAGCTTATAACCAGTGGGCCACTGGAACTCCTCACAGGATGATACAGCTGCTACATACAGGCGTTTACTAAAACGTCACTGGAACTAGGGCAGCCAGTCAGTGAGTTTCTGAGCACCACCGTTTTGGAGGGAGGACCTGCCTGAAAGCTTTGGGGGTCAGAGCAGAGAAGCCCTGCATAGGTACTCTGTCTCTGACCAGGGCTGGTACCTCCGTGGTCAGCAGTGGCCTTGTCAGAAGGACAAAAATCAGTTCCTAGACCACAGGCGTGTGGCCAAACTAACAGGAGGGTCAGTAGGGCAGGGGTGAGGGAGGTGATGGGGGACAAGGCCCAGTCTTTGAGGCAGGGGTCTGCCTCCCTAGTGGCTGGCCAGTGGGGCCAGGGCTGTGTGGATGGGGGCCTGGTGGACCCATCACTCAGAAACGCTGACTGAGGCCCTACCTGTCCCGACCATCGGCGGTTCCCCACAATACCCAGGGGCAGGGTGATCCATGCCATCCTGCAGAGGAGCAAACCCTGAGAGGCCAGCGGGGAGCTGGGCATGGCCAGTGCTCTGCCCAAACCTGCAGGAACCAGGGCTGTGGATACACTAAGAACCCGAGCAGGCGGAATCAGGGTGCCACAAGGCAGCCCTGCAGGGCAGGACAGAGGGACCCCTCAGCCTGCCCGACCTCTCTCCCTGCAGGTCCAGGACTGGCCAGCCCCCACCCTGGATATGGGAGGCTGGGCTGGGGGCAAGCCTGCAGCTCCACCTCCTCTCCCTCCCCTTGGCTGCATCTCCACCTAGTGGTGGTTTTGAAAGAGCTGCCACTGGCTGCTTTCTGAGGAGGGTGAGGGTCTATGTGTTTTAGGTGCCTTCAGGGAGCCTCAGCAGCATTGTGGGTTGGTGTTGGACTGCTAGCCACAGAGTTGGTGGTTCAAACCCACCAGCTGCTCCTCGGAGGAATGATGAGTCTTTCTTGGAAACCTTGTTGCTATGGGTTGCTGTGGGTCAGGATAAGGAGCTCTGGTGGCATAGTGGGTTAACCGTTTGGCTGCTAACCAAAATGTCAGCGGTCTGAGAAAGAGGGGTTTCTCTGCTCCTGTAGAGATTTAAAGCCTTGGGCACGCAAAGGACGTTAGTTTTTGTTTGGGGGGAGCCCTTGGTAAAGACACCCCCCCATTCTAGGGTTAAGAAGCCCCCATAGGCCCTGATGCAAGGGCCTGATCTCAAATCATAGGCTGCACTCCCTCCCATGAGAGGGGTGTGCGGGCTCCGCGGGGACTCTCAGAGCTGGACACCCATCTTTCCCACCACGGAGACCTGGGCTAGGAAAATCCAGAAAGAGGGAGGACTGCAAGCCCCGGGAGACTGTCCTGGGCCCCTCGCTGGTGGTGGGGAGCAGCAGTATAGAGTGACCTGCACTTACCTCAATGGCCAGCACCCCGATGGTGAGCGCTCCGGCCAGGTAGACGTAGGTTTCAAAGGTGTTGAGGATCACCGTGTAACAGCCCTGGAAAGGGAGGAGCAGAGGTTGTCTGGGGTCAGGAGCCTCTCGCCCTGGAAGGGTCAAGGGATCCTAAAGCACAGTGTCAGCCGGTTCCTGGGTCAAACTGCTTATGGAGCAGGAGGGGCAGGGGGTCAGAGGAAAGGCCTTGGGGAACTGGCCAGACATGGGGGGGGGGGCTTTGCCTGGCAGAGGAAGGACACCCTTGGACCCTGTGTCTATTTCTTGGCCCTTCAGCCTCAACTTCTGTCAGGCTTGGCAGCCAGAAGTGCCTCCGGGTCTCAGGCCAGCAGCGGAGGGGCCTCTAGCCTGGGTTCTGAGACACTTCCACGGGTGCAGGCAGGAAGGTGTGGGCCCTGGGCCAGGAACTTGGCCTGGGGCTCCCGAGATTGGTGTTATTTAACCCTTACCCCCCTGCACTCTCGCCAGGCCTATGGTTCACCTTCTTCATATTAGTGCTAGACACATAACGGGACATGCTGGCTTTCTTGTCTGCTGCTTGTTTGTGGTCTGCTCTACCTGGACTGTGAGTCTCCTAAGGAGAGTGGCCTTGTCTGCCCCTGCAGCTCCCTGTGTAACTGTGACCTCCCAGGAACACACCCCCACCACCACCACCCCAGCTTACAGGCCTACTTCAGGGACTGGCCCAAGGCACTGGTTCCGTACAATTTCATCCTCTCCCTCCCTCTGGCCTGGCCTCTCACATATATACTGGGGCTCAGGGGGACTGGCCAGTGGGAGGAGGGGATCAGGTACAGGACATAGTCCCACAGAGTGGGGGGTGGAATGGGGGGTAAAGCCCAAAGCCTGCTTTCCCGAAAAGACTGCACCCACAGAAAGAGCTGGGTTTCTTCCAAGGCAGACGCAGGACATTGGGTAGCAAGAGAAAGCAAGTCTAGGAGCTCCCTTGACCTTGGAGGGTGAGGTCAAGGAGACCCTGCTCCCTGGGCACAGAGGGTGCCCACTTCTCCCTGTCGGGAACCAATTGTGCACTTCCTCCTCAGTGGTGGGCAGAGCTGGGCATCTTTGGTTCTGGGCTCTAAGTGGCATTATCCGAAGTCTAGGGAGTGTCAGAATATGACTCACCTCTAGTTCCAGGCCCAATGCCCACTCCTCCCACAGCGCCAGCCCTGCACTGCCTGGATGCATCCCACAGGCGTGGATGGCACCCCCAGCCCCTGTCCCAGAGACACGCAGCCTTGCCTGTTCACAATCCCTGGGGCCCAGCCCCCTACCTGCTTGTTCAGGAACAGGTCCCTCCCCAGGAGGCAATCCTCCCTGCTCAGCAGGAGCCCGTCCCGAGTCTGGGGGTCCCTCCGGCAGCAGGCCTCCGGGACCTCCTCACTGTCCAAAGTCAGAAGTCGAAACACAGACGCGAACTCAAAGTCTTCAGGCCCGTTGACCCCACAGCAACCGAACTGAGGGGAGCAGAGAGAAGGTCCAGTGGGAAGTGCAGGGGCTGAGCTGGGCAGCCTGGGGTCAAAGGTTCCCCTGGGGTGGAGGCTGCTCAATTAAGAGCCCTGGTGGGGCTATCTAGTAAGCATTGGACTGCTAACCTCAAGGTCATTCTATGGGAAGAAGATGAGGCTACAGCTCCTGGAAAGTCAGAATGGACTTAAGTGGTCGTGGGGCGTGTGTGTGTGTGTGTGTGTGTGTGTGTGTGTGTGTGTGTGACACTTCAGGAGCCATCATGGTACAGCGGTTGTGCAAGGTCAGCAGTTCAAAAGAACCAGCCATTCCCCGGGAGAAGGATGGAGCTTTCTACTCCTGTAAAGAGTTACAGTGTAGAAACACACAAGGGTTCTGTAGGGCAGTGAGTTTAGTTTTGGGTTTGGCATGTGACTTCAGGAAAACTAGTCAACCTCTCTGAGCCCTATTTTGTGACTGCTATTGCTCACTGCTGGTGCTCACTGCTGGTCCTCACTGCTGTTCCTCACTGCTGTTCCTCACTGCTGGTGCTCACTGCTGGTGCTCACTGCTGTTCCTCACTGCTGGTGCTCACTGCTAGTCCTCACTGCTGGTGCTCACTGCTGGTGCTCACTGCTGGTGCTCACTGCTAGTCCTCACTGCTGGTGCTCACTGCTAGTGCTCACTGCTGGTGCTCACTGCTGGTGCTCACTGCTGGTGCTCACTGCTGGTGCTCACTGCTGGTGCTCACTGCTAGTCCTCACTGCTGG